TTTCATCATGATCTGACTCTCCTTTCGAAAGTTATCGTGTATACGGCCGGACGACCATACTGACCGATTCTAGAGTGTACTCACTTTTTGAGTACACAACAAAAAGAATTTAAATAAAATATAGTAAAACTAACTTCAAATTCTTTTCGTAATAATTTATGATAAAATTGTTGATTTTCACTTTGAACACCTTGTGAAAATTTTTGAAGTTCTTGTAGAAGTAATAAACGATTATTATTCTAAATAAAATAATAACAAAATTTTAATAATAAAAATATTCATTTAATATGATTTTACTTGTTTAAGCATAGCCATAATTTTAAGTACAAGTGAAATTGATGTTGTTTCAGGTGGTGGATGAACAGTTCTAATAAAATATATAAAATAAAAAAATTTTCTTTTTTTTTTTTTTACCTCCATAAATCAATAATATGTCGAATTAATTGATTTTTATTAGTATTTTCATTTGATTGACATAATGTTAAATGATAATTATTCATTGCTTGTTGATAACATATTGTTGAACAATACATTTCCTATAATGAAAATAATTAGAAAAATAAGAATATTTTTTGTATTTTTAATTATTTAACATTGCATTTTGGACATCGGACAATTTGTTGATCAATATTTCTATTAGGATCACATTCGGAATGTGGAATTATAATAGATGAATCTTGACAAAGACGACGAACATTTTGTTCACAAGATTCTAATGGATATAAACAATATTCACATGCCTAAATAAAAATTTTATAAAATGAATTTTGTTTTTTATTATTAATTTACAGAATATTTGTATAGTTTATTCCATTCAAATTGAGCTAAAACAAGTGGTTGTTCTTGAAATATTAATTCATCACATTGATAAATTCGTTTGGATATTATCTGTCGACCCTTCAAATTTAAAAAAAAATAAATAAATAAAAAAAATTTTATTTTTTTTTATTTTCATACTTTAATTTCATCATTAGCAATAACAAAATCAGTTTCATTTGTTGATATTATCGTAGACATCTAGAATCATGATTAACTAGAAATATTATATCATCATGCTTTTTTTAACTATAACATATAATTTTAGAGATTTTTATAAGAAAAAAAGTTTTTATCATTATTTTCTATTTAAATATTCATAGGATTGACATCTGATGTAATGCATAATAAAAACTTATTAATAATTTTTTTTTAATAATAATTTATGAAAAATTTCAAACCTACGATCATTATTTATTTTATTAATATATTTATATACTATAACCGATATCTCCATCAAACAATTAAAGAATGTCAGAAAAAGAATGAGAAATACATTAATCACATAAGTCAAGAGGAATTCTTATTTTTGCCATGTAGAAAAACAAAAAAAAGCACAGATCGAATATTTATTATATTGCACAAAAAAAGAAAAATAGAATATGAGTTTTAGAATTTCTTAAAAATTAGTTACATAAATGAGAAATATAAATGGAATTAAATATTTGTTTGTATTGTATTGTATTTTTAGTTTTGTTTTCCATTTCTATCTGAACAAAAGCTAAAGCAAGATGTTTTACATTCACACAAACAAACACAATAGTATTACAATAACAAACAACAAAAACTTTATAATTTTATTGAAATGAGAATAAAATATCAAATCACAAAAGATGAAGACGTTTAAGTTCAACAGCTTTTTCTAATATTTGGTATACATCAATATCTTGTGGATAATTCTAAAAGACAAAAATAAAATTATACATATTATTTATTCACATAAACAAACTTGTAGTAATTTTATATTTTGTGATTCAGATCCATTTAAAAGACGATCTCGTTGGATACTAGAAAGAAAAAAAGCAAGACAAATTATTTTTATGTTCTATTAGAAAACTAATAACATACATAATCATAGCACTACAGATATACAGAAGAAATTCGAAATTTCTTTCTTGATCAGCAAATAATGAATCCCAAATGCGTAAAACATCTGGTAAACGAAATTCTTGTGATAATAATAATGTTAACCAACGAAATGCATAAAATTCTGGTTTTATTTTTTGTTTTTCAAATAAATAATATATTTTTGAATCAGTTTTTTTTAGTAACATTAGAAATCTTTGCATACGTACAAGTATACCAAATTCAGAATGATCATAAATTTTCATAAAATTATCTCGAATATGTATCATTAAATTTGTAAAACAATAAAATGCATCAGCTTCAGCATGTTCTAAAAATAAATATCTCAATCATAGACAATCAAATCAATGCATTAATTTAATTTAATTATGTCAAAATATTGAAACATAATGGTATCTATTTTAATCTCAACTTGAAATTTTTTACAAATCATATTCAATAGTATTATGATGTAAAAATATATCCTGAGGGGCTGTTGGGATAGGAAGTGAATCACAAGTTTCTTTTTTTTTTGCCATTGATGAGCAAGAAAAATACTGGAGTACAACAAATACTTATCAAGATTATGTATCAATCTCCACTGAGGATATTCCTGCTTTATTTTGATAATTTGCATTGATCATTAGACTTGAGCTATGTATTAAGAGTGACTTAAAGTGAATATTACATTTAAATGACGATGAACTGGAAGACAATTTAGGGTCTATTTTGAATTATGCTGATTCACTTTGGATTTCAGTCGAAAATATTAACATAACTTTTCAAAATTAATATTTTGGATTTGTTCAAGTTCATTGAAATTAGGATAAACTCCAAAGAATTTGCCGGAATTAATTGAATTTATCTGAATGATTACACATATTCAATAGTATACGAAGTTCCAAAGAACAAGTAAAATATCAATTATTCGGACTTGCTCTATGCACTCTATTATGAGTTTTTGTACCCAATAAAAATCAGTACGCTCGAGGCACATATTTTCTGGTCGAGTTGAGCATCTTTTTGCTTGCTCTTTATTAGATAAAATCAACCGTGTGTTAAACATTTTTATTTTATCCATAGGAACTTTTTAGGCAACTATAAAGAACTTGTACAATCATAATATCATTTTTCAAATTGATATTCTTTATTGATATATCAATGCTACACGGAATATTAATGAATTATTAAAAATGAATTGAAAAATATTTTATATACTTGTAAACTTACAATTTACTGCAATATGTTTGTCTTACGAGAAAGCATCTCCAATTATTAGAAGCCTAATATTATGACTACTAGTAGACCTTTGTGAGACTCATGAGAGAACGAAACAAGTATACATTTGAACTCATATTGGGCCTACAACGAGATCTCGATAAGGCTACAAACATCCTAGAAAAGATATCTTCCTATAGACCTTTGGATTCAAATTAGGATAATTTTGGTAATGAAAAAAAAAGAACAAAATTTTGTTCATATATATAAGTAGAACAGCCTGTGAAATATCCTAAAAGTTTCAGCTGATAAGAGTGTTCTTTTGATAAGGTATCGAATTTCCAAAAAATAATCGTTGGTAATATGTATAATGCACAAAACGATCATAACTCGGCTACAAGGATGAACTCTCAGTAGAGCATCCTTGTAGACACAATATTATTTCAAACAGCGAATGTCAGTTTGGATAGTTTTTTTCGTAAGAAATGCCTATAAAAACTCAAGCCCAAGACCTACTGATAAAGACTTATGGCTGTTTTACTGAATTTTTTTTTTTGGTGATAGCAAGGCATTTCCGAAAATATCATAATATAGAGTTTTATCCTGACTTTTTTGCCTATAGATAAAGTTATATTAAAGAAAAACACACATTCGTTTGCATTGAAAATTTTTAATATTTATTAACTCTCATTTTGAACAAAACTTCACTATAAAATTGTATGTTTTTTGATATTTTCGGAAATGTTTTACTCTAAAAAAAAGAAACTATAACTCTCTTATCAGTAGGCCATTAGTTCGAATCCTTGTAGGTGTTTGTTAATCTCACTGAGATTTATGCTTAATCATAAAATTCGATCAAACAGCATCTAATTGTTGCAGATGTTTCCGTGTTAATTTTTTCTATCTCATTAGTTTTTTTTTTTCAGAATATCTTGAATAATTTAAAATTTGAGTACATCATCATCATTGTACTTAAACTCGATGAATTCTCATGTTTTATTTCTTGTGAAAAAAAATGTATCAAGTAAAAGTAAAGAAAGGTAAATCCATGAGTATCCAACCACTTTTTCGGAAAAAATGGTTAAATATCCATGGATGTACCCAGAAAACCATCGCCTAAAAGCAAAACTTCAAGTCTTTCACCTTCACTACTTTACTTGCATTAATAATATTATTTTTAATACATCCGAAAATATTTTTCTCGGGAACGACTAGACGAAACATTACAAAACCTTCAAGCCAGATAGATCTTGATAAGCAAATCAAAAGTTATTCGAAATGTTCAGATGATTCCTTCAGAGAAATGTTGAGGGGGGGGGGGGGGGGGCAAACGGTCAAAAGCCCTTCCACAAAACTCTACGTGATACATGTTTTTTTTTTTCTTTCAAAAATATCTTTCCTAAAGCTTAAAAGAAGCAAACAATTGCAAGCACTGTAAAAAAGAAAAAAAAAGAAACATGTGCCTCAGTATGGCCAAAGTACGCGTAAAAAATTCTAAGCCCGATAAGACGTAACCTTATGGGAGAAAACTTGGTTTTGAAAAAAACAAACATTTTCTGTATGTATCAGGCCTTGTTTTTGTTCAACTTAAGGGGACCCCCCCCCCCTTTCCGGCGTTTCTGAGAAACGGCCGAACAAAAATTCCTGAAACTTGCAGGGGAGAAGGACCTCGGGTAGGAGGAGAAAAGTTGTCGTAAGACAAGAATTGC